TGACAGCCTCCCAAACAACCACCCTTCTCATCTCCACTGCCCACACATAGCCCCAAGGTGAGAGGCCACCCAGCTGGCCCAGTTTGTGTGAATCCATTTGCTCCCACTCCAACCACACTTCCCCTTTTAATGGGATTACACCAAAAGACATGCTCTGATGATTTTCATGAATATGCAGAAAATATGCTTAAATTCTCCTCCACAGTGAATACATGGCCACGTGTCTAAGTCCATGGTCTCTGTATGCTTTCTGCTGTTATAACAGGATACCACAGACTATGCAATTTATAAACAATACAAGTTTATTTGGCTCACAGTTCTGGAGGCTGGGAAGTTCAAGAGCATGGCATTGTCAGCTGGTAAAGGTCAGCCATGGCAGAACTGAGCACATAAGACAGAGAGAGGGACCAGAGGCCTGACTCACTTTATAACAACCTGCTCTTCCAGTAACTAACCTTCCTCAATGATGACATGAATCCATTCCTAAGGGCAGAGTACTCATGACCCATTCATCTCTTATTGGGCCCCACCTCCCAGTACGGTTGCATTGGGGATTAGGCTTCCAACACATGAACTTTAGAGGGACACATTCAAACCACAGCACCCACTGTTTTGGGTAAGCAGGTGATAACAAATGTGAAAAGACTAAGCCTCTACAGCTTCCACTGGAGATAACCCTGGGCCTCTACACTTCAATTCATATCACTCAGACATACAAGCAGTCACTATATTCCCCAAACTCTCCAAAGAAAGAGATTCCTTGGTCAACCCCCAGCCCCTCGCTGGGGAGGTTCTCCTTTATATCAACTTTCATTGCTTCTGCTGCAGTTTCAGTTACATGAACCTTGCTTGCTGTCCAGGGCAGCCCTGTCCATACACACCCTGGCACCTCATCTTTGTACACATTCCCTTTCTTCCCCAAGTTCCACATGTGCTGGATAAGTGAGAGCCCCTGGAGAGCTGCCATGCCTGCAGGATGGCCAATGTCTAGGCAGGATCCCTGGACCCCCAAGAGGAAATCCTAGGCTTACCCAATGTGTTACAATGGTTTTCACTCTCAGCTGTTGACCATTGGCCTAATTTTATTCTTTGTACTAGCAAACATATACCTCTTGAACAAGAAAAGGGCATTGAGAGACAGCCTGGTGTCCCTAAGATAATCACTCCTGGGGCCAAAGCTCATACCCACGTTTGCTCAGGCACGCCCATGAGGATTTCCCCACATTGTTACCAATAACCCTCCAGGAAGATGACCCGGCACCACTGCCTTCTACTGATTCACAAAGGGAAGTTCCAGTCTTCACTGGAGAGAGGCTCAGCAGGTTCTGCCACTGCCTTGGTGGTATTCTGCCTGCTGGCCTGGCCCGGTCCATGGTGTCTCCTCTGGCTGACCTTTGTATTGCCTAACCTCACTCCTTGCACCGTGTCCTCAAGCCTCCATCCCTGAGGCTTCTTTGGGCTGCTGTGATGCAAGGACACGTTGGACTCCTTGGTAACCAGACCTGCACTGGCGCATCCAGCTGCAGGCCAGGCTGTGGGCAAGGAGAGGGTCACAGCTCTCACCCACTTGCTAGATCAGCCTACATGTTACGCTTTGCACCTCGAGTGCTGTTACCAGTGTCTTGGGAGCCAACTTCTTTGAAGGTGGCCAAAGGGTCTGGGCACACAACCTAGAAGTGTTGGGGAGGTGACTTCCTGTGGTGTGAACTTCGGTCAGTGAGAGATGGGACTCACAGACACAAGTTTCCTCCTCCTTGCAGTGGACTGTTTAGTGAGGCAATAGTTTCATAGGGCCTCTGCAGGCTGAGCAGTCAGCTGTGCTTAATACAAAGCTATGACCAGCAGCTAACACACTCCTTCTGCATACTCTCCCCGCTTGCCTGCCACCTTCCCCTTTCCCTCACCTCTGTCTGTGTACTTGTACTCCCTGATTTAGCATGCAAGCTTTGACCTTGGGCTCTGTTTTCTAGGGAGCCTGGCCTAAGACAGCTCTCATACTTCCTGTATGCCAAATAGTCTCTCTCTCTCTCTCTCTGTGTGTGTGCGTGTGTGTGTGCGTCTTATTTTAAATCTTTACCAAAAAAATCATTTGCAGATGAACACTAGAGCTGTGGGGGCAGGGTTGGAAAGGATAAAATAATGCACTTAAGCACACATGGCTAGTAAATGAATAAACGGAAATTTTAGCTTAGGTCTGTCTAACATCAAGATTTGTGTTCTCTCAGATCATGAGTACTGAGATCAGACCGACCAGGGCTTAAATGCTGGCTCTGAACTTACTAGCTGTGTGATCTTTATCAGGTTACCTAACCTCCTTGGGCTGCCATTTCCTCATCTGTATAAGGGACAGATTTAGATGCAATGGTTTCTAAGGTGTCTTTCAGCCAGCACATTCAACAGCCCCAGGGGCCTCACAGGAGCCTCTGCTTGCTGGTATAGCCACTGGAATTTTCCTGTGCAGCTTGGGAAAGGGGTCACAAAGAAGGGATCCAGGCCTGAGGGCTACCACAGTCCTAGGGGAACATACTGGAAAACATCTTAATCCTTCAAACCTGGGGATGGTGGGGTCCCAGTGTTATCAACGACCACCCAGGACCAACCCCAGTGGCACACAAACAGCCTTCAGCCTTCTACCTTTTCATTGCCCAGGAAACTCCCACCCATCCTCCCTAAGCCAGCGCACACATCCCAAGGGAAGCCTTCCCCCTACAGCCCCCTTATGCGCCCACAGTGCGTTCTATTCTCCTCTAGATGTTCTCTTACAACTCCTTCCACTCTGCCTCCCCTGCACTTATCACTTATCACAGCTTGAAATTACACAAGAATGCGGCCATTCATTGATCTCCGTCTCACTCACTAGTCCAAAAGATCTGTGAAGGCTGTGTCCATGTTTATTTTGTCCCCCATTGTATCTCCAGTGTCTACAAGAGTGGAAGATGTTCAATAAATATTTATTGAATTAATGGGTTAATTAATTAGTTCATGTCAAGTAGCCAAGTCTCAATGAGACCAAAGCAGCAGTATTTTTGCTTGAAAGAAGATCTGGGGTGAATTCTAAGATTCTGATTGCTCAAGTCACTCGGTGTGTGGCTGCATGTCTAAGAGTCCCAGACTCCTCTTCTTGTCCTCCAGTCTGTCACAGCTCATTAGGGGGCTAAAAAGGAGATGGCTGTGCACTGACACCGCCATCCCTGAAGTCACCCTACCAGTCATCAGGCAGCCCAAGGAGACCAAAGAAATCAGCTCAAGGTGAATGAGGACATCAGGAAGAAGGTAAAGAAAAGGCCTGGCATTTCGGCTTTCTGTGGTCTAACTACTGAGCTGCACCTTCACAGTGGACACCAAATAAGAAGAATGTTTCAGGAGTGGGTCTGAAAGATTAAATAGAGAAAGACACAAATCCTCTTCCACTTAAGCATGTACATCATCAGGCTGGAATCTCAAAACCTGAGGCTCAAGGACTGCAGAGGGCTTTCTGCCAAAGGCTTCGCCCTGCCATCCCCAACCCTGTGGCAGTCGTCCAGGGATCCCTAGGCCTTCTGCAACCTTCTGTTGACTTGTTGGCCCTCTGTTTGCAAGCCCCTCTCTGCAAGCAAGGCCTCACTTCTGAACCAGCCCTCTCTGGACTCCAGTCGCCCTGGGTCGTTCAGAATTCCCAGAACAAGGCTTGCCATTTTACCCTGCTGGATCACTGCAGATGCCATCCATATTCCGTCAGGCAAACTCCTGAAGGATCCTCCCTCCTCAGTTCTTAAACACCTTTTCCACAGTTCTCATCTACATAGGACTTTTCCCAATCCCATGTCAAGGACTGTTTATTTAATACCTCAACTAGTATTTTTATCATTGAAAAGTAGGATTTTAAAAATGTATCTTATATTCCAAGTTTGTTTGATATAAAGGGTTTAAAGCATATTATTAATTCAATAAAGAAAAAGATCTGGGTTCCAATCTGAGCTCTGCCCTATGCTGACAGTATAGCTCCCAACAAGTCATTCAAGCTTTCTGGGCTCGATGGCTCATTTGTAAAGTGGGACTAACAACCAGCTAAAAGGTGTGTTTAAAGAGGATTAGAGATAATGCATGTAAAACACCTTGCACATCAGCACGTGCTGGGAGGCTGCAGGAGCTCCTTCTACCATTGAAATCCAGAGGGGAAAAGAGTTGGATCAAGGTCACACCAAGAACCCAGGTCTGTGCTCTCTGCATTATGTCCTCATCACCTATCCTGATCATTAAAACTCAGTTATGGAAATATGGATGGTGAATTAGCAATGCCTTAATTAATTTCTACAGTTGTTAATAGTGTGTACAAAGAAAACAAGAGATTTCCCCCTGGAAGAACTTTCTATACCCTTGCTCTAACCTAACAGATGTCTGACATTCTCCAACGCTCACCCGCATGTTAATCACATCTCCACATTCACCCTGAAAATCTACAGCAGATCCAAGCGCACCTTGGCCCTCGGTCCATAAAAGGACATGAATGCCAGCCAAAGATAATACAAGATGAAAGAAAATAACTGTAGCTGTGACCAACTCCTCTGCCAGTCAATCCCTTTGCCCTGTTATTTAGCCACGTCTCCCTTGGCAGTATCTCTCAAGCATCCAAGCCAGTTGATGTGGGTGCATTCTCTTCTCCCAGGGCCTGTTCAAGCTCTGCCAGGGAGTGCTAATGAGCCACAGAATAATCAGAACAATCAAAAAGCATCAAAAATGGAACCCAAACTCCCTAATCTGTGTTAACCAGTCAAAGCCTCCATGACTTGTCACAGGCTCTGGACTGGGAAAGCCACGGGGTGGGATCGTTGCAGGCTTATCCACGACTGCATGTCTGTGCCAGCCCAGGCAAGATTTATAGCGTGAATGGACAAATAAATGACAAATGCATGAATGATTGACTGAACAAATGGAGGGTTTATGAGCGTGCAGTACAACCTTATGCCCTTCCAATCCCTCCCAGCCCACCCTCAGGCCCAGATCACTTGTCCCCTCCTTACCCTAGCGATCAGCTCCCCGACCATTCCCGTCCAGGTGCCGTTGGCCTCGGGAACGCCGTACACGCCATCCCCAACCAGGCGGATCTTGTAGTTGAATCGGAGGATCTCTGCCAGCTCCTTGAGCATGTCCACACAGAAGCCCTCGTAGCGGTCATTGCCTTCCATCTCCTGGTGGTTCCCCTTCAGCATTAAATACGGGTTTTCCTGCAGCAAAACTGGGCAGCTGTCATTCTCATCTTAGCCCTGGTGTCTCAGCCACATGTGATGGGGAGGGCCGGGGCACAGAGGGCTGGGGAGGAGATGGGGCAGAAGGAGGAAAGTGACGTGGGTAATGGGCTACTTTGGCGTGATGACCAGTTCCTCTCCCTGATGTGCTCCTTAAAGCTGTCCTTCAGGGTGCTTCTATTGTCAGGAACACACAGTGGTTCCCACTGCATGGAGGGTCAGGCTCAAGCTGCTTCATCTTGTTTAAGGTCATCATCTGACCATACCCTCTATCTCTCTCTTTTTTTTCTACCCCTGCTTTATTCCAGGCAGATCTACCTACATAGGTTGGGTATTATCAGAGATATAAGGATGTCTGCAATAAGCAGGCTAGGTAAGAACAGGTACATGAGCAACTGCAGTCCAAGGAGGGCATTGGGAAGAGGGCAGATATCTCCAGTGAGATGTCCAGAGAAGGCTCCAAGCTGAAGGTGGGATCCAAGCTGGGCTCTGGAGGAGGCAGAACACTGAGAGATGGAAGGGCTGCGAATGAAAGGCATGGGCCAGGGGAAGGCACAATCAAGGGCACAATCCTGAGTGGCTGCTCAGTGGACGATGGACCTTCCAGGGTAGCTGGAGCACAGGTTGTGGGCAGGGGCGAGATGGGAGGAGAAATGTAGACGGATGGATTAGGGTCAGGGTGGGCCTCAGACGCCAGGATATGGTGGCTGCACATTACACAAGGTATAGAGGGGAAACATCACGCGTTTTAAAGACGCAAGGCTGTGAGCAAGGAATATTAAGTAGTAGGAGAGGAAGCATCCAGGGGCGAGGACAGACCCTCTTCTGAGATGAGACCCTGAATCCTGGGCGCAGGTTGGACTGGAGAAAGCCAGAAGGATAAGAGACACAGAAAGGAGCAGGCCTGATGACTGGCTGGTTGGGTGTGGGTCCTCAGAGCCTTGGAGCCCGGTAGATGACCGACAGCGGGTGGTATCATGGGGGGCTCGAATGCCTGGAGGGGAGGAGGATTTGGAACAGGTTGAATCTGAGGTGCTGGCAGGCTATGCAGGCAGAAATGCCCCACTGGGTGTTTAAAATGTGGAGCGAGGGTAAGCCAGGAGCCAGAGATTGGACACGTCGCACAGAGATCAAGGCTGAAGCTAGGGAATATGTGAGACTGTCAAGGGGAAGAGTTGAGAAAGGGCAGAAGAGGAAGAAGAGGAGGCCCTGGGGAGAACCTGGTCTAAGGGAGTGGGGAAATGAAGGGCAACCACAGAAGACAACACAGAAGCAGCCAGGAAGGCTGAAAATTAGGGAAACGTGGTCTTAGCGTCAAGGAGGAGGGAATTTGAAGACAGAGGATGTAGCCACTCCCACCATTCTCACAGACCAAGCAGGGCCGGGAACCAGCGTGTGGATCACTTGTCACTGCTGACCTTCTGAAGGCAGGCAAGGTGGGGGCAGCAGGACTCCGTAGGATGAGGAGTGAGCGAGTGCCGCAGGAGTGAGGGTGGTCCAGCATTTTGACAGGTTAGGAGCTAGGGGAGGCAAGGCGGCAGGCACAGAGAGGGCAGATCGCCTCTCTTCCAAGCTCCTTCCCCACTGCAAACAGCAGGACTGGAGGGTCCTGGGGCCCACCCAGTTCTGTGATTCTGTGACTCCCTACGTTTGAGGGCGGCTTGAAGGGCAGCAGGGTGTGGGAAAGGTGAAGGCGAGGGTGTTTTAGGATGGGACAGTCCAGTGTATATTTATAGGCAGGAAGGGAAAATCTCTGGAAAAGGGGAGAAAAGAGGAAGAAAGAGCCATGTTAGCTGGTGGAGCAAGGGCCCAGGAAGCGCAGGGTGGAGGCAGGGTGGCGGCAGGGTGAGGCTGAGGCCTGAGCCTGGAGGTGAGGTAGAGGGTGTGGGTGAGTTCACAGAGAGGAGGGAGCTTGTGCTGGCCCCAGAGTTGTGCTGAAAGTGGGGCAGATAGGCTTGAGGCTTGGTGTGTGGGAAGATTTTCAGCAGAGCCACTCAGGGGATGCGACAGGAGAGAGGAGAGCTGGGCTCAGGGATTACCAAGGTCCAGCTGCAGAGGGGGAGGCTGGATGCAGACAGGCAGCTGGGAGCAGGGGTGGGAGGGACAATCAGGCTTGGGTGCAGGTGTGCGTGGAGAAACCTGCACACCACGATTCTAGGAGCCAGGAGAGGAAAGTGCTGAAAGCCTGATGGGTTGAGCTTACTCTGAGAGGTGCTTCCAGGCTGGGGAAGATGGAGAGCCAGACAGACCCAAGGTCATGGGGGGACTGTGCAGGAGAGCAGAGTGTGGGTGTGATGGTGTGGGCATGATGAAGTGGGCAGCCGGAAGGCAAAGGTCGTATGTCAAGGAGCAGGAGCTCTGAGTGGAAGGTGACGTGATTCTGATTCACGATGAGTCCACTGTCATGTCAATGAGATAGGGCCAGTCGGCCTGCCTTCCACACACGCCGTCCTCAGCACAAGGGCTTCTCCCTGCACAAACTCTCCACACGCTCCCCCATCTTCCGCCTCACCTAGCTCATCTTTGTCCACAGAGTCACACTGCCTCCTCTTGTGCCAACCCATGTCTCAGAACTACCCTGCTCTCATGCCAGGACCCACACAATCGCCCTCCAGTGTTTTCTGATTTGCACCTGCTCTAGGTGGAATGGGAGTGGGGCCTGGGACGGACTCGTCACCTGCTTGGTTCCCCTACCTGGCTCAGCATTAAACACTTACCAGTCATGTGAGTAAGAAGCAAATGAATGGCTTCATGGACAGGGCATGGCTGGCAGTTTCCATCTCAAGACTGGTAATGTACCATTGTATCTTTAATTGTCCCAAGGGGTGACACAAATGCTCCTTCCCAAACACTTGCTAGTCTCAAGCTAATTTAAAACTTATTGACATATTCAAAGGTCTTGGAGATGCATTGGAAAGCCCAAGGATGGGGATGGTTAGGGCTCACTGCCACTTTGGAGAATGCTGGGGGTTTGAGTGCTAGCAGCGGTGCTGTGAACGCAAGGTGAGAATGCGGCAAAATGCTGAAGACGAGGTCTGGTACAGAAAAGGTGTTCAGGGAATGGGAGCAGCAGCCACTTCCATGTGTTTGCTGGCATTAACCAATAAATCATCCACACATTCCCAAGTGTGCCTTGACCAGAGCGGGGAGACAACATGGATACGTGCTGAGTTTTAAGGGATAAATCATTCAGGATTCTCATTTGCCAGGGAAAACGCACAAATGGTCGCCCGGGGACTGAATTAAGATCATCATTCCTGGTGAGATCTATCGGCTCGGATCGGCCACTGTAGCACACACGCACAAGCGAAGAACCAAGGCTAATAGTTGTTTGAGTTGTACTTACCATGTCGTTAAGTGTCACCTCACACACCAGTGTCCGGCCTGCACCCCACCCCTCGTGAGCACGTGCATGTATGTGAATAAACACACGTGCACACACACACAAATCAGGGTGACTTTCCCAGACTAGCAACAGGACCCTGCGGACTTGGCATAGCCGTGGACCTGTGCCAGAAGTCCAAGCACGGTGTAACTCCCAGCTCTGAGAGGCTGGAGGTACAGCCCAGTCAGTTCCTCATCTCCCTCCCAAAGTCTTGTTGGCTTTTAAGGGACACCCTTACCCTGTAGGAAGGACTTCCTTCACTCAGATTCTAATTATTGAGCTCCTACTCTGTATCAGCCCCTCTACTTTCAAGGAGCTCTCATCCTAGAAGGGCAGGTAGAGCTTTAAACAACAACCTCTAATAAGAGAAATGGGAGGGTCCAGGGAAAATGCTGGAGACAAGGAGAGGACAGGAGTTAGAGCAGGGAAGACTTTGTGGGAGTTGTGACATCTGAGCAGAGCACTGAAGGATGCATAGGCATTTCCAGCTGGAAACAGAAATTAGAGGGAAGGGTAACCCAGGCATAAGGAACAGCATGTGCCAAGGCAGGAAGGAGCAGGATGCAGCGAGCAGGTGTTGAGCCATCCAGTGGCACTAGACCCCACGCTGCATGGGGAGGAGAAGGTGAGGTGGGCTGGGCCTGATTACGAAGGGTTATGTCCCAAGCTAAGGGGCAGCAGGGCCTAGGCAGTGGCTGAAGGATTATAAGGAAGGAAATGCCAGGCCAATTCTGATTTTCAAATGACCATGCTGACAGTAGGGTCAGGGGACAGGCAGAGAAAGAAGGGAGCCTGCCAGCAGAGTATGGAGCGGCTCCAGAGAAAGAAGTAGAGGGGCCCCGATCCTGGATTAGAGCAGGGGCTTTGAGGATGGATAGAAGAGGACAGATCCAGAAGTTTTTTAGAGACTAAGAAGACAGCGGGAAGGAGGTCCCAGCAATCACACGGGGTGCTGCACATCCTCCCCCGAAGTGGACTCAGCCAGGCTCTTCCCTGCTCTCTGCTGGGCAGCGACACCGCAACCCTCTCATCTTTCTGGCATTTTCACACTGGTTCAGATAAGCTAAGGCTGAGCTGAGATGGGTGTGGGTGAAACCCTGGGGGCTGGAACTGCGCTCTCAGTCCTTGCTTCAACAGCTCCCTCTGCCAAGAACACCCCTCCCCAGGCAACCACTTTGCTGTGTCCTCACCACCAGGTCTCTGCTCAATGCTGCCCTTCTCGGAGAGGCCACCCTGACCACTGGGTATGAACACCGCAGACCGTCCCAGCACCCCAGGCCCTTCACAGCTGTAGCTCCTTTTCCTCAGCCTTGCAGCCTTCTAATTCACTGTTTGACAACATTGCTCTTTCCTATCTGTCACGCGTTTCTTGCCGGAATGTAAACTCCTTATAGGCAGGGATTCTTGTCTTTTTGGTTCATGGATGCACTCTGAGCACCTACAACAGTGCCCAGCATATAGCAGCACCCAATAAACAGTCATCGCGTGAATAAATGAATGAATGAATGAATGAAAATGTTCAGTGACTCCATCTCATGACAATGAAGGGAAACTTAATAGCCTGGCATTCAAGTTCCTAAGTGCTATGGACCCAACCCACTTTTCTGGCTTATGCCTCTTCCCTTTCTTACCAGTGTTTGTTTCTCAGGAAAACCTGTACCTTTCTGCTTTTCCTGAACACCTGACGATGCCCTCCTTCATTCATGTCCTCCTCCCCACTTACTCCCTATCTTTCAGAGCCCATCGTCAATGCCCCTTCTTTCCTGAAGGCTTTGCTGATCTCCCCATGGGAGGGACCTCTCTCTCCTCAAAACTCCACAGCTCTAAGTGTGCGCCTCTTTCCGGCTTTTATCTCCTGTTTACAGTAGATCAATCATTTCAGCCCAGGGCACCTGGGCCCCAGCAGTTCATAAAGCTAGTGATGGAGGTCCTTGAACTCTTTTTATTATCTCCAAAAGCCTAAAAGACATGGACACATTTGCAGACCTTGCACAGTTAGCAATGATAAGGCTGAGGAGGCGAACTCATGCATCGCCTCTTTGTTTTGGGCTGCAATGATATCAGTGTGGTACCACTGGCTATCTCCTGCTAATAAGATGCTGGGCCAGGCAGGGAAAAATGCTTTAGATTAGTTAAAAGGGGGAGGGGAGAAACAAACTAATGACTACTTAATACATGTAGTTGGTTTAATTGACAAATCTTTTAAACATAAGGCCTTCAGAGGGGAAGACAAATAATACCTTGACCATATATGCACTTGACCTATCCCATCTACTAACTTACAACCTCAGGACAGAGAATAGAACTGAGTCCTCCTCATCTTTGGTCTCCAGGACTGGGTACAGAACCTGGCACATGGCAGGGGGGCAGGGAAGGGAGGGTGAACTTGGCAATTACTGAATAGAACAGAATCAAATAAAAAGGGCAAATGGGCCGGGCACAGTGGCTCACGCCTGTAATCCCAGCACTTTGGGAGGCCAAGGCAGGCAGATCACAAGGTCAGGAGATCGAGACCATCCTGGCTAACATGTGAAACCTCGTCTCTACTAAAAACGCAAAAATTAGCCGGGCGTGATGGCGGGCACCTCTAGTCCCAGCTACTAGGGAGGCTGAGGCAGGAGAATGGTGTGAACCCGGGAGGCAGCGCTTGCAGTGAGCCGAGATCGTGCCACTGCACTCCAGCCTGGGCGACAGAGCAAGACTCCGTCTCAAAAAAAAAAAAAAAAAAAAAAAAAAAAAGGGCAAATGGTCTCTTCCCCTACAGATTTTATTTTATTTTTTTGAGACAGTCTCACTCTGTCACCCAGGCTGGAGTGCAGTGGCACGATCTCGGCTCACTGCAACCTCCGCTTCCCGGGTTAAAGTGATTCTCATGCCTCAGCCTCCCAAGTAGCTGGGATTTCAGACGTGTGCCACCGTGCCTGGCTAATTTTTCTTTTTTTTTTTTTTTTTTTTTTTTTTTTTTTTTTAGTAGAGACGGGGCTTCGCCATGTTAGCCAGCTTGGTCTCAGACTCCTGGCCTCAATCCTCCCACTTCAGCTTCCCAAAATGCTAGGACTACAGGCGTGAGCCACTGCACCTGGCCTCTTGCCCTATAGACTGAGAGCTCTCTTTTTATCACCTGGAAATGAAGAAACAGGCCATGTAAACCCACAGACATTCCATGTCCGCTTCAGGATGTGGTGGGGGACAGTCCTGTTTTGTATACAGCAGGCACCCCCCAGCAAGGTGGGCTGCTGCGAAGGGGCAGGGGTCCCCAGGGTCTGAATCCAGCTCCCCGCTCTGTGTCACAGGTCCCCTTCCCTTGCCCCTGCACAGCTGCCCCAGCTGTCAGGGTGCCCCCAAGAGGCATCCACAAACTGTGGTGCCTCTCCACCCCGATCCTCCCCCCAGCTGCTCTGAAACACATCAAATATCATTTCCATAAGAAACAGCAACTTGAGTGTAATTACGCTGTCAGAAATTGGGCTCAGTGCTGTGATTAGAGCTCCCATCTTCTGTTCAAGGGGCAGCCTGTGAGTGCTTAGAGCCGGGGAGGCACCCCAGGGAGCTGCAGCTGGGAGCCCGGGAGAGCCCACTTACCAGGATGGTGGTGACGACCAGGGTGGTGTTGAAGAGAGTGTCCGAAATGTTGGAGGCATAGAGGCGGCTGTCCATGCTGAGGCCCTCTGCCACGTGCCACTGGCCGATCTGAGGAGACCAACGGAGAGGACTGGGAAGAAATGGTGGCCTTCAGGGCTGGAAGGAGCCAAGAGACTGACCTCTGCCTCCGGCTGTGCTGCATGTGAGCAGGGAGGGGTGTGGAGTACGGAGCAGGGGACTGGACTGCAGCAGGGAGACTATTACCCAGGGTTGGGGGGCTGAGGGAAGCGGGGGCTGTAACAGGGAAGAAAGAAATAAAGATGTGGGGGAGAGGTGGGAGAGGAAAATGGAGAAATAAATCAGGAACGAATGCAGTTTGGTGAAGTTCTCTCACACAGAAAGGAACGGAACATGTGGAATCACATTATTTTGGGGCAGGGATGGGCTGTAGAGCTTTTTTGATCCGGCCTGCCTTCAATCATTTCTGAGTATCAAAATAAGAATGAGAAGGCTATACTGGAGAGAACTGTGTCCTTTGATAAATGTTTGCTGGATGGCTGAATGAATGAATGAACTTCAACAGGTCTAGTCCAGATTGACTCATTTACTGGCTGTGAGAACACAGGCAAGTTATTCACGTCTTTCAGAGCCCTAGTTCCCCATCTATCAATGGGGATGGTAATGCGTGTCCTGCCTTCCTGGAGCTTCTCATGTATGTGCCAGTGGGTGTTCCATTATTTACCCAGACCCAGGAACACAGATCTCAACAATGAAACCTTAGAAAAGTTACTGAACCTCTCTGAGCATGTTTCCTCACCTATAAAATGGGGATAATAATAGAAACCTCATTGGGTCATTGTAAGAATGTATTTAACCTGGCATTCAATACATGCTGCTCTCCTTCCACGTTGTCTTTTGTTTTCTCTCTCTATTGTGTTTTGTTTCATTTATTCTGTTTTTATTTTATTGTGATAAAAACACTTAATATGAGACATACTTTTTTTTTTTTTTAAGAAGGAGTCTTGTTCTGTCACCCAAGCTACAGTCCAGTTGTGCGATCTCGGCTCATTGCAACCTCTGCCTCCTGAGTAGCTGGGATTACAGGTACCTGCCACTGTCCCCAGCTAATTTTTGTATTTTTGGTAGAGATGGGGTTTCACCATCTTGGCCAGGCTGGTCTCAAAACTCCTGACCTCATGATTCACCCGCCTCAGCCTCCTAAAATGCTGGGATTACAGGCATGAGCCACTGCGCCCGGCCGAGATGTACTCTTTACCAAGTTTTTACACGTACAATATATTACTGTTGGGTGTCTCATTGTCTCAAAGACCACCAGGTGAAAAAAATCCACAACTTACTCAGTTCTTCACTCTGGAAAGTTACCTAAACCTAAACTCAACAGCAATGAGGTTTCAGATTGCTTGTTTTTCCCAATGGATCTCTCTTTTTAATTTTTTTTTTAAAATAAGAGATGGGGTCTTATTATGTTGCCCAGGATGGTCTTGACCTCCTGGACCCAAGTAATCCTCCTGCCTTGGCCTCTCAAAGTGCTGGGATGATAGGCGTGAGCCACTGCACCTGGCCATAACTCTTTTTATACATATAAAAATACACACACACATCTCTAGATACATCAAATCCCAATATATCTCTACTAACTGGAGCCCCTGGCAAATCATTGCTGACGCTGAGTGTTTTTAGGTGGGCAGACAGGAGAGACGGCTGGCTAAAAATCAGTGAAACGCACACACCCTTCTCTGCCAGGCTTCTGCAGGCAGCAGCAGCAGCTTCCCTGGAAGGCCCACAGGAGTTCCACAGACGCCACGCAGTTCTACTCCGCGGAGCTGGGCCCTGGGTTCTTTCACGGAATTTCCAGCAACAATAAAGACATGTTGCACCCTTTTCCGCCGCTCCCACCCTATGGGGGCCAGAGGATTGAGAGTGAGAGGGAGCAGCTCCCTGCCTTCACAGTCTGGAGAAGGTGGAGCGTGTGGACGGCAGGGTCAGCCAGGCCCACCCCCGACCATCAGCTGGGAGCTCTCGTGGGCCTCCAGTTCCAGGCAGGAGCCTTATGGTCTCTACAGTTGGGGCTTTCATGTGGAAAAGGGGAGATGACCAAATGCTCCCGTCCATGCCCTGCAAGAATGCCACCTGGAAAAGGGTGGGCAGCTGTCCCCATCTCTGCAAGGGCAGCATGGTTCTGTGCGTGTTCACATTCCTTTGCCGTTTACAAGCAAGGCCTCATACACATCCATACATCAAGCCCCGTTTTACAGATAAGGAAACGGAGGCCAAAACAAAACAGCCCACCCAACTTGCCTGAGGTCACAGAGCCTGTCAGCTGAGAGGCCTGAGCTTTAAGCCCTGCACTCTTAAGCGCAGATGAATCTTCCCGAGGAAGGCTGCCTGGTCATCCTGTCTGACTCCTCCACCATTCAATTGCACATGCTTGTTTACTTGTGTGTCTCCCCCATGAGCAGCCAGTGTGGCTCAGGACAGCAGGTGCTGGCCTTACTTATGCTTGTACCCTTGCTCTGGGCCTGGCCTTGGGAGTGGGGGGGGACCATTGTCTCAACAGACTGCTGTTGTGGGTGAGGCATGGGAAGAAGGCACTTTCTCTTTCTCTGAGCCCTCCTCTGGCCTTGGGAACTCCTATTGTCTCTTAAAGGGAACAGCCAGGCCATGTTATGGTCCAAGATTGCCCTTCCTCCTCCTCTCTGCAGGGGTGAGGGATGAACTGTTAGGTTTCCAAATGAAAGGGAAAAGGGTAATAGTTACTGGACACCTGATGTGTTCGATGTGTCAAGCCTATCATCTCTGAATTCTCCCATCAACCCTTTCGAGTAGTTACATGCGTTTCTGTTTTAGTTAAGAAGAAACTGAAGCTCAGGGAGGTTTAATGGCTTGCCTAAGGTCCCCTGGCTGGCAGGTGTAGCACGGGATTGAACCTAGATCTGTGACTCCTAATTCTGTGATCTTTCCTGTTTCTGCTGCTGTCTCTTAGGGTGGGGATACGAATGTGCCCTTCACTTAAGCAGGCCAGGCTAACTAGGGAATGGCTTCTAGGGCCCCCACCATGCATTAAGTCCAAATACATAGCTTTCTTCTCCTTGGCCTCGACACGCCACAAAGCCAGGTGAAATTATTGTCCTCAAAGAGGCTCAGTTTCCCTGTCTGAAAAATGGATAGAATTGGTCCCCAGTGGTCTCCTAGGTTGGGAGGGGCTATATTGAGGCAGAAAGAACAGAAAAAGCAATTGGGCTAGATGTCAGCACTGGGATGTCTGGAACAGGACTGAACTCCTTAGAGTCCTTTCTGTCATCCTAAACCTCAGACAACAGAGCCAGTAAGGCCTCAGCTCTCTGCTACCCCCGTTCCCACCTCCACTGTTCTCAAGGGGTCTAATCCTCACTAACCACTTGTTCAAAGAAGCCCCAGCCCCAGACTCCTTGGTCTTCCCCAAGCCACGAGACAGGTAAAAGCCAGAGCCAGATCCAACACCCTGAACTACGCGCCCTCCCCGCTCCCTCCTCTGGGGACACAGCAAAGAGACTAATTAGCCCCCAAGCTCCAGTCAGGAAACGAATCCCCCACCCACCCTCCCACTAGCCCCCAAGAAATTAATAAACTCATCAGATCCAACAAAGCGGCTTGGCAGCCATTATCCAGTGCAATCTAATTGCAGAAAGGCAGTGGGAGGGAAAGGGAGATTCAGAGCCAGGCGCCCTGGGATACAGGCTAATTGCCCCACCCACTGGGCACCCTCGAAGCCACACACGTGCCAGAAGTGGGCAGGAGATACAGCTCTTTCATCACTGACAATCTGTGGCTCTGCCTCCAGCCAAATCCCTTTGCTCCACCCCGCTGACACCTGCCCCCCAAGCCTCCTGTAGGAACAGCTGTTTTGTAAGCCGCTTCCACATGCCCACATGTGCAGGCTTGATTTTGCTTCAAATAATGTCTCTCCTTGGCTCCCTCTATACTTTCTGTCTTGCACTTGCTCTGCCTTTCCACCGTTTAGAGGCCCCAGGGGTTGCAGTGGAGGAGGAGAAGGTATGGATTTGGACAGGGCCACTGCTAGCCTACATACAGCATCTTAATACCAATAAGACAAAAGCACCCCTCTGGGCTGAGGTGGCCCTGCCAGAGCACCCTCGGAATGCAGAGTTCGAGCTGGACTTCATCCCTGGGCGCTGCACAACCAGAGCCACTGATGCAAAGTTGGAGAGGAGTTTAACCTGGCTTCCTGCTGAAGGGCTGTGTGAAGTTGGGTAAGTTAGTGAATCCCTCTGAGCCTGTTTCCCCCATCTATAAAATGGGGATGAAAATAGTAATTATTACCTCATAGGGTTCTTTTTTTTTTTTTTTTTTTTTTTGAGACGGAGTCTCGCTGTGTCGCCCAGGCTGGAGTGCAGTGGCCGGATCTCAGCTCATTGCAAGCTCCGCCTCCCGGGTTTTTACGCCATTCTCCTGCCTCAGCCTCCCGAGTAGCTGGGACTACAGGCGCCCACCACCTCGCCCGGCTAGTTTTTTGTATTTTTTAGTAGAGACGGGGTTTCACCGTGTTAGCCAGGATGGTCTCAAACTCCTGACGTCGTGATCCGCCCGTCTCGGCCTCCCAAAGTGCTGGGATTACAGGCTTGAGCCGCCGCGCCCGGCCACCTCATAGGGTTCTTAAGATTAAGGGAGATGGTGTATGGGCAAAGTACTGTGTCAACCCTTATTAGTTTTTAATACCATTGCCCAAGGCGGAAGGTGGAATCTCCCGTGTGCTCTGCGAAAGGTTTCACACTATGGGCTTTAGTTGATTAGGCAGATGAGGCTGGTGTCTCAAAGCATAGTTCCCAGAAATGCAAATTATCTTCTTCTCTGAGATGGACATTTAAAAACCAAAATGAAAAATGAAAACAAATGCAAATTCTTGGGCCCCACCCCAGAATGACTAAATCAGAAATTCTAGGAGTAGGGTAGGCTGCGTTAGAGCAGAGCAGAAAGACCAACTCAGATGACAAACGGGATGACAGCGAAGGGCTAGGGTGCAGAGATTAACAGTGCTTCAATGCCTGCCCACGGTCAGTTAGGAAATGTTACAAACTGGCTCTCCTGGG